GCACCACGTAGGTGCAACGCAAAGCCCATGCCGGCAGACCTTGCTCTGGATATGACACGGGTCAGCTCGGACCTGGGTGTCGAATCACCAGTGTTGAGACCTCTCCGATGACGTCACGGGACCGGGACGCTGAGTCAGCACGTCTCGGCGCCCCCGACGCCGGCCAACCTGCCGGCTTCGGGCCCATGGCTGCAGCGCCGCCACTCCGGACCACGATCTGAATTCCATCCAGGCTATAAAGCCCGCTAAAAGGCTTCATTGTTCTCAGACGTTGGCCGCCGCTTAGGCACGCTCTCGAGACGATGGCCCCGCCGTCCGCGCGAGCGACGCTTTCCAAGTACCTCGGCGGCCAGGAGGAGGCCCTCCAAGCGGCATCCAGCTCTGCCGCGTGCTCTGTGCCCCCATAACGCGGAAATGTGCGCGGCATCCAAACGGGCGGGAATTGACGAGAGTGCGTTGCAGCGAGTGTGGACGGCATTTTAAAAAGCTGGCTCGACGAGGGTGTGGCGCGACGACGGTCGTTTGAGCTGGTGCCGTGGCCCGCGCGAGGTCCTGCGCCCATTTGCAGCCTCATCAGAGCAAGCAGTTTCTTGCAGTAACCTCGGAAACGCAAACGAGCTTCACTGTCATCCGCGACCTGTGTTTGAACATGCTTCTTCAGCTCCTGAGGGTCAAGCCACGTGGCATTGGTCGGCGACGTTCGATGCTTCCTCCCCGCTTCCAGTCGGCTGCGAGGCGAACGGCCACGTCACCATCGGCCTTCACACGTGCCTCATGACCTCTGGACCGAGGCATCCTCCATCTGCACTTTGAACGCACAGATCCAGCTTGGTGAGGTACGTTTAACAGTGCCGTTTAACAGTGCCGTAACTCTCGCCCTCACACAACTGCAATGCTGTGTTCGGCTTTTCCCGTGCATCAGTCACGAAGGAAAGACTTACACATGAAGAGGAGAGTGGTGCACTACATCGATCGCCGCGATCGCCTCAGTAGTGGACATGTCCGTGCCTCGCAACCACTGCGTAGCTCCGCAAGGCTCGGAGCCAATACATCAGCACCTGTGCGACGCTGAAAGGTCAGCCCATTTCGCGGAGATCGAGAGGGCCGAACGATCGGGAATGGTGAGGTGAGGTGAGGTGAGGTGGTGTGAGGTGGTGTGAGGTGGTGTGAGGTGGTTGAGGTCAGGTCAGGTCAGGTGAGGTCAGGTGGGGTGAGATGGTGTGAGGTGAGATGAGGTGAGGTGAGGTGAGATGAGGTGAGGTGAGGTGAGATGAGGTGAGGTAAGGTAAGGTAAGGTAAGGTATGGTAATATAAGATAAGGTAAGGCAAGGTGAGGTGAGGTGAGGTGAGGTGAGGTAAGGTGAGGTAAGGTAAGGTGAGGTGGGGTGAGATGCGGCGAAGTGAGCTGAAGTGAGCTGAAGAGGGCTGAAGTGAACTGAGCCGAGCTGAAGTGAGTTAGGGGTAAGGTGAGTTGGGGTGAGGTGAGGTGAGGTGAGGTAAGGTGAGGTGGGGCGAGGTGAGTTGGGTAAGGTGAGGTGAAGTGAGGTGCGGTTCACGCCCCATGCATCTCAACGGCGGAAGTTCTACCAGCGGGGCTGGTGGTATTTGGACATCAGTCAAAATCTATTGCTTTCTGGTATGTCTGAGAGGTACAATGGTACAGAATAGCTGCATTTCAACTGTACGGCCCTTTCAATCCGCACAAATTAATAAGCGCTTGGTGAGTCGACGGTTTCGAGCAACACCCATGCAGAGCTGCGTATATGGCCATGCCACCCTCGACCCGACCCAGCTACCCGAGGTGAGGTCAGTGATGAGGTCAGCTGTGACCTGCTAGAGACAGGGTCGTCAAGTCCTCCCTGTCTACCTCCCTGCAGCATCACCACGTGTTGCGCTTGGCTCGAATCTTGGTTTGTGTAGCGCATTTGTGAAATCTGCGCCTCAAACTTAACACTTGAAACTTGGACCCGATCTGGACAGGTTCCCCGACTCCTGGCACCCCTTCTTCCTCCGTTACCACCAGGACTCCTTCCCCTCAACTGACCAACCCTTCGGCGTTCGTCTCGGGTTTGGCGGCCGGTAGAACCCCTTCCCTGGAGCCACAAGGCAGCTGTCGCGCGGAGCCGTCACGAGCCGCGGAGGCGCTGCTGTCAGCTGGCGCCCTCTGACGGTCGAAATGAGACCGCTGTGGCGCAACTTCCCCCATATGTTACAGTCATGCGTCTCCCAGGGACTGCCAGTGGACAGGTCTAGCGCCAGAGGCGCGGCCAGGGAGGAAGGAGAGGGGAGCAGCTCTGGAGGCGCGGTCAGGGAGGAAGGAGAGGAGACAGCTCTGGAGGCACGTCCAGGGAAGGGAAGGACGGAGCAAATTAGAGGCTCTTTTAAGACATTTGCTGAGATGGCCGATTTTAACGGTAACGAGCGTGTTGAGATAAATGACGCATCTGCTATTACATCGCTGGGTGCTCTGTTTCCTCGACATGCTACATCCACCGCTGACCGTGCATGATGGTGGTAGTGGTGGTGGTGGTGGACCGTACATGGTGAATAAATTGTGTACCATGTAGGACACCGTGCAGTGAAGATCGCACCCCAGCTGAATCACGTCTGTGTTCCGCTGAATGTGCCGGCCACCAACATTGTGACGACGGATATACTTGGTCCCACCCCTACAAACCACGTACAGCGCGCCATGACTATGGACCCAGCTCCGCACAGCGTTTTCCGACTTGACAGAGCCCAGACTCCACCCCAGGGTCAGCTCAAACAGCGGAGTCCAGAGTCCAGACTTGACCGCATCGTATTGTGGACAATACCCGCCACAGGCGCGGCCGAGGAGAGTAGCGCGGTGTCCCCCCCCCCCCCGCCCCCCTCTCATGCCCGCATTTTCTCTGTTCATCATAGATGGCTGTGAACAGGAAGTTGCAAATCAGAATGATGCAATTTCACTGAGCTCACCCACCCCCCTCACGAAGGTCCTGGATGTGCCCCTGATGTCCACTAGCATTTTATGGAGTCATGCATTGGGTGTCCAGATAGCTTTTTGAAAAACGATGTCATTGTCTTCGCTATCCAATACTGTAGAACCACATGCAGCGTCAGCATTACCCTTCGTCTATGAAACCAAACCGAACCGTGTGGCCGCGAGCACAGCCACGCTCCCTGAGTCCCAGCACGACAGTCAGTGACCCAGCCAGTTACCCTCCCGTGTCGGCACCTGATTGGAGTGCACCTGGAGTGGTGACTGATCGACCGGGCGAGGCACGGATCGACCCCGCGGTAGGTCGGTGCAGCCATAGCCTTCCTCGGCACCGTCCCCAATCAGTCAAGCAGGAGGAATCAGACGCTTCAGCCCACTGGTGCGCCCTCCCTCACGCGTCAGCGTTGGCTGGCGCGGAGGGCGGAGGTGGTGCAGGCAGTTTGGCGCGAGAGCCTTTCACAAATTTGTTGCATATTCGCACCGGCGTACAGGCACCGGAATGTGATTAGGGTGGTGCAGGTGCTGGATGGAGCTCTGGCTGTCGGGGAGGTGCGGCCGGCATGGAAGTGCCGGATGCCGGCGCGGGCCAACGCTGCTATGAATCGCAAGCGGCCGGGCAGGCATCGATCCTCCGGTGCTGGATTTGTTCTGTTCGGTAGCTGGAGATAGTGCTGCCTGTGGCTCTTAACTATGCAGAGGTAACGATTTTACAGGACGCTACAGAGTCGTTCACGCCGGTAAACAAGCGATAGAGCAAGCATACAAATGTCGGCATTTGTGTCGACCCAAATCTGGGGTCTGCTGTATTCCGGTTGACAAACTGTACTGCGATAAGCAGAGGATATTCCAAAATGTGTCGCAAGCACAGTGGATTGACATGATCCATACCCAAATGTGGTTAAAGAAGTAAACGTGGTTTCCGCTGTAGAACGTGAAGAGCTTTATCCACGAATGCTCCGGTGTACGTTTCCTCTAAGTCATTTTATTCTGTATTCACCGTTTCGTTTGTTTTTCAGACTTTGCGTTCATTATGTCCAGAATTGTAAAAGAAAACGATATAATCAAACAAACAATAGGTATAATTTCTCTGCCTGGGCGTTGCAGTACCCTTTCCCTAAAAGTACCATTCAGTGAAATGAAAGGAAGACATACCTTTATTCCACTGTGTTGGGTCAAATTTACCTGCCTCCATACTTTTAACTTCGACAATTAATCACATTTGACAATCGATCACATCCAGCATCAATGCGTGCTGTGATCTATCATGCTATTGAACTATATTAGACATTTTAGACAAATGACCACCTAAAAAATTCGCCGTGGATACTTCATTACATTGGCGAAGAACTTGGCCGCTGGGGCCCAATAGCTTTGAAGAAGCAAACAGCATCCATCACTGTTGAAGGGGCAAAGTGGCAGAACACTGGATGCGATTTGCAACAGCCGACTATAAAACATTCGAGCCAACAACTGTCACATTTCCCAGCACAGTGGACGATGATTTCCTACCGGAGGAAGAAAATACTCTAACGATTTCTTGAATGCGTCGCCGGGCAATGGTTTCAACAGTCACCTTGAACAGCCCGGTGGGAAAATGACCAAAACCATGGTAGTTTCTTAAAACATTGCTTGTGTGCGGAACACAGTGTTTGACGATAAAGGATATCGGTGACATGATTTGTACAAGGTGGTGAGAAAACAACGATGATTTTCTCACCAGTCCGAAGTATCACGACTATAAAACTTATTAAGAAAATAAGGCTGAGAATAGTTAAGGCGTACTGTAGGTACTAATGCAAAGTAATGAAGTCAAACCCTAGCGGCACCGTATTCAAATGACTAAGTTAAAGTATTCGAAATCCAAAATACCCAGCCCGGGACAGCATTTTTCGGCCGACGCCATAAACTTCCGTCACGATTCCGAACGCAACATCACCCAAAAATAACCAACACCAAAACACCAACACCACCACCGCCGCAATCCCCCCGCAGCAAACGCGCACCCGTCCCGCCTGCTGACCTGCGGTATCCGTACGGGCGCGGGGGACTCCGGGCCGGGTCGAGCCGGCCGAACGACGGACGACACACACGGCGCCGCCGGCTGCCGCTGCAATACTGAGCGCCGATGACGCCGGCGCATCAGCTGAGCAGCGGCCGCGACTTGTCAAGTTCAAGGCCGCGGCGGCGGCGCGGCAAAAACGGCCGCACGGGGGTCACGGCTGGCTCCGGAGCGCGTTTCGGGCACGCGGGTGGGGCGCAGCGTCCACCTAGTCGCGGGTTGAGTGGCGGGCCCGGGGACCGGGGACCGGACCGGCGCGTGGCGGGACGCCGGCCCCGGGGTGGGGCGCGCGACGCCCGCGGAGGCGCCGGCCTCGTTCTCAGTTCATCACCCCGCGCCCGGCGCTCGGCCGATGGACTCCAAACTGGTCTCCGACCTGACGCGGTCGCTGACCGCCGCCGCCGCCCGGTCGTTGCTATCTGAGGCTCATGACCGATGGCGGAGGGTGAGTGGAGGGGCGCGCGGGCAGGTGGCGCTCATTCATTCGAGGGGGCAGAGACGAGCCTCGGGAAGCGGTGGGGAGACGCCGCGTGGGAAAGTCGGTCATGGGCGACGGCAGCAGAATGCTGCATGGGGGGGAGGGGGCCGCAGTGTACGGTGAAACTGGTCGTTCAAGGTCACCTGCCGGCCGCGCTACCGGAAGCAGAAGGGCAGATGACCTTTGTCTTTCGCTTGTTCCGCAGATCTGCTCAGTGCAAACGTCCTCACGTTCGCTTCTGAATAGTCGGCTCCTGCCGCAGTTACAGATGGTGCTCTTGACTGAGCCTGAGACTGCATTGAATGCCATGCATGGGTGGCATGTATATGCTTTTTTTCTTCAATTTAAGAAGCCTTTCAAGATGATATTGGAAATGGGACGAAAGCCAGCGATAAGCATTAATGGGGGTTTACGAATTGATTTGGTGTGGCAAAGCATATTCCTTAACAAAAATAGGGTCCACTGTTTTAAAGATGCGAGCGAGACAAACATTGGAGGCGGATAGGGCCCCTTCCACCAAAAAAGGCCAAATTAATTAGGCGTATGACGTTGCAGGAATTTTATTTTTTGACGTCACTGTTATGGACAAGTGACAAGGTTACCATAGCAACAACACAATCAACTTAGCTTTCCAGACATTTTTCACAAGTTGTTGCAATTCGCAATCTGTTTGGTATGCACGCCGGTGCAATGATGGAAATTGTTTGCCATTTAGCTTCGGAAACTATTCCTGCATTAAAGATCTATAGACGTTCTTGTACTGGCATGCATATTCACCCCCGTGCTCCAAGCGCTGAATACCGAAGAAACAACGTTCAAGATTGGATTGAGCTTCTGGGTACGCAATTACATATTCGTTCTGCCCATCACTATAATGCAAATGCGCTAAATGGAAGGGCAGCCTCGAATGCAGGCTGAGCGATTCAGGACAAGGGGATTCATTTTGAATGAAGCATTCCAATGTGCACCTGGTCTTATCCAGTTAGTGGTCTTGGAAAATGTTCCACAATCGAAGTGGAGCTGCAAGGCTCCGGAATGTACTTGAGAACGTTTGCTGTGACACTGTCATCAGGGCCAGGGAGTGTTTCAAGAGTTGGTGTGTGTGTGGGGGGGGGGGGGGGTAAAGCAAAAAAGGGCTTGCCTGGTCCCTGTTTTTCTCCCCGGATTTCGACCATTCCATGCTCAAGTGTTTTGTCAAGTATAAAAGAACACTCACCACTGAATCTATTTCCCTCGATTTGTGGCATTCTAGCATTGATGCATTATCTTGGTTTTATATGCAACATTGCATTGCAACTGCATTTAGGCTCTATATTCACGATGATGTAGAAAATCATCCCTCATCAACATGCGGCAACATCCATGCTTTTTCAACCGTGCCTTCCCTTTCATGATCACGATAGTTAGTAAATAATTAAAGATGCTGGAAATTTCGGACCTTAAGCAATTTGTATTGAAGTTAGCCATGAGCTCAGAGTCATGGAGTCCTTGATCGATCTTGGCAAATTCTTGGCCCTTTATGCTTGAGCCAATCACCAGGCAACTCAGGCAGGGACTCTGTGTCATTCATGCAGGGACTGGCGAACATTTTTTTCTTTTTTTCTGACCCTGGCGATCACGACCAGCGTACGGCCGACCACTGCATTGACTGTTTTGGTCTGAAAAACACATCACATTTGGATCGGTACGCTATTACATTGCTACCGTTCATCCATGCAGCCGCTCGCAGCTTGCAGTCATGATGTTGGTTCCGCATGCATGCGTGATGCTCGCCTCTTGAGCTAGGAATGTCAAATTTTCACTCAGCGTCTAGAATGATCTGCATTGAGGTATTAGCTGACTAAATTACGCAATGATTATACATCTTGTGCTCATTTAAGGACTTATTTATCACATCCTCAAATTTTGACCATAACGGCTCAAACTCACCGTTAGGTGCTTGACGGAATTCGGATCTTTTATTCTTCTGCCGCTTTGATCTCAGAAACTGTCCGCATCATACATTCAAAGACAAGATACGTCAGATACCTTTCCTCCACAGAAGTGACGGCTCAGGGTAGTAAAACATACATTCCACGTCAATGGGCAGCTGGAATTTTGGAACTGAAGTGACTCTAGAACCACTCTGGTGATAATCGATTCTTGAGAACAATAAGGTGTAGCCCTGTTCTGTTGAAGACATTCATTGGCACGAATGCACGTGCGTGCTCTATCAGACTTTTCCCAAGACTTAGACTGCGGCTGCATATTCATTGCTGATAAGACCATACCTGAACATCACCATGCGTGCGATGCACTTCTCTGGAAGCAGGCATCGCTACAACATAGTATCGGGCTGGTTTTCTCCACAGAACATTTTGTTTTTTTGAGTTGCCGCTGCCACAGAACAAAAAAGCGTACCAGTTGTAAACCAGAGATGTCCAGGAAAGCATGATTCCTGATTAAGATTCACCAATGGGCCACTGTCGTATCGTCACACGTTCCTGCATGTCCTCAAGTTCGACTTTAGGAGACACGACTACGTGGTGTACTTGTAGTTCCATTATTTTTTTTTTTAATTTCACGGCGAAGGCGTTTTCTTGGGACCCGTGCGGCGGACGCCGTGACAGGCGGCGGCTTTCGTTTGAGTTGATATTTCGAGTTGATATTTCGAGTTGATATTTCGAGTTGATATTTCGAGTTGATATTTCGAGTTGATATTTCGAGTTAATATTTCGAGTTGATACTTCGAGTTGACGTTTCGAGTTGATATTTCGGCGAAATTTTGCTCTTCCCGATGAATAGCCTTGCTCGAATTGTGGCGCTGTCCTTTAAACCAAAGCAGCATTCAAGCTCCAAGCGAGCTGTTGGAACTATTAAGTTCTTGCACATTTTCTACATAAAATGGTTTTGTCTCGATAGGTGACCAAATCTTAACCAGCATAACTGCAGTGCTAACCGAAGTTTTGGAACTGCATACCGTGGTAAGTTCTCTGCATGCGGATTATTCTTGAAAAATAGCACGGTTATCTTAAAAATGTGCAAAAATCTGACAACAAGTGTCGTATAATGTAATAAGTCTAAGTGTCACATTTTGTGGGGACGCCCGAAACACTCGGACGGAAAGAGTAAGCGTAAGTCTACGTCACGACCAAAATGTACGTGCCATATGATTTTCCTTAGCTAGGTGCGAGCGTGAATAAATGAATTAAGACGGAAAAGTCCTCACAGTCCTCACGAAAAGCCCTCACCAAAGGGAATGATTTTTGGCAGATTTGTCACGTATGGCAGCAACCCCATTTTCGAAAGAATATTTGCAGTTCTAAAATCCCAAGATCGCTTACCTAATACCTAAGATGATAACATAAGATAAGTGATAATGTCTAATTCGTCATACCTGGGATCATTTGCGCGCAAGCGGCACGGTAAATTTAAGTTTCCTCGGTAGCCGTGACACCCATAGAACGTATGCATCCCTGGAATTACGTTCATAACACAATGCGAATGTTATCAATTTCTTACTTCGTCGTTGTAGCCAAAACCTGTAGTACATGATGTGCGTATTCCCATTTTCACGACACAGGAAACATTGCTGCACTCTCCAAAGAGTTGACCATTTATTTCAATGCAAGACGATGTTCGACAAAATTCTCAAAATTTAGCTGCCTTCGCCACTGTCGGCCACCACCACCGGCATCTTAATATTCACTTCATGTGATGTCACATCATGTCGTCAAAAATCATGCTTGGAATCGAGGCGAAAGCTGCTGCTTTTGCGTTGAACTAGTCACTATGCAAGCCCAGCGACCTATTTTGTTTTGTTCATCCGGCGATTTTACCATGAACAACGATAGCTTGTCATTAGGATCAGTTACCGTGATTCAGGTTGACGGTATTTAGCAGGCCGATCCTACCGCATTTCGCCATCTTTTTTCCGAGTAGCTTTACCTCAAGATAACGAAATTTTCTGGGCACTGAGGAACAGGCGCTCAGCATGCGTCCGTACTATGCCTGGCCCTCCATGGCTGAGCTCAGGAAACATTTCCCCACGTAAAACTGAATCAAAATACGAGCATCAAATCTGCCGAAATCCAGAGTGTTGGTGGGGGGGGGGGGGGATGGCGCATTTCTATGCGAGATCCTTTGTCAAGGTGGTAGCATATTCGAACTCATGATCAATATGGGGCGGACAGCAGACTTCATTTTATTCTGTACCTACACACATATGTTACATGGACCTTCTAATCGCAATGAGTAACTAATAAACTGGTACGTAACTTCTGTCGATCCTTCTCTTGTTACTAGTTAACTGAGCTTGGCCTTAGCTTAAATGCAAGTAAAACAATGCGCAAGTTATTTATTGCTGGCAATGTGTCATTTTGAAGAGGGACCCACAAATAGTCAACTTTTACCAAACTGAGTTGTTGTCTCCATTTTAAAAGAAAATAATATTCACATACGCCAAATCAATCTGAAGCAAAACAAAAACATCCGAAACTTGTTTATCAAACCCCAATATATCTACATTTTACAAAGACTTGTGTGAGAAAATAGCTCCATCTTGTGCATGAAGCCCATT